TCTAGGTCTTTAGTCTGTTCTAAACATGCCACTTATCCACCCATTAGCATATGACAAACATTAAAAACTCAGATGGACTTTGATTTCAACACCAGGTCAAAACCACACTGAGCTTTGGGGAGGTTCAGATCGGAACTCAAATGTAATGGGATTTATACATCCCAACCAGCAGCTGATAAGAAAACACTTCAATGTCTTTTGAGCAATAAAGGTGGAACTTATTAACTAATCAAAGAACTTATTAACTAATCAAAACTTATTAACTAATCAAAACACTCTAGAACTTATTAACTAATCAAATAGTCAATGGAAATCCCATTGACTATTCAATTAGTTAATTAATCAAAATTTAACATCCTTAGTTGAAACTATAGTAAAGAACAAAATTGTTGAAAATCTATATGAACTTCATTTGTTGGGGAAGCGTCAACATGTTTTTTGTAAAGGGAAATCATGCCTCAATGATCTACTAGAATTCATTGAAGAGGGTTGGATCCAGTGGATATAGTTTACATAGATTTTCAAAAAGCCTATAACAAGATCCCTCACCAAAGGGATATTAAGTAAAATAAGCTGTCCAGGTCCTCTCATGGACAGGTAACTGGTTACAAGACAGGAAAAACGGGTAGGAATAAATGGTCATTTTTCAGAAAGGAGAGAGGTAACTAGTGGTGTCCCCCAGGGGTCTGAAATGGGGCCAGTCCTATTCACATTTTCATAAATGATCTGGAGAAAGGGGTAAACTGTGAGATGGCAAAAACTACTGAAGACAGTTAAATCCCAGGTAGGCTGCAAAGAGCTACAAAAGAATCACTCAAAACTGGGTGACTGGACAACAAAATGGGAGGTGAAATTTAATGTTGATAAATGCAAAATAATGCACATTGGAAAACACAATCCCAACTATACATACAAAATGATGGGATCTAAATTAGCTGTTAACACTCAAGAAAGAGATCTTCGAGTCATTGCGGACTGTTCACCTATACTCAATGGCTGTGTCTACACTGCACCCCTTTTCCGGTGTTACACTGAGGGAAGCTTGTGACTAAATTTGCAATCTGATTAATATTAATTAAACCTCAGTGGAAGTGGCAGATACCACCAAACCTCATCTATCATAGGTGTTTGTTGTTACACAATTTAAAGGGGCCAAACCATATATTGTAAAAATTTAAAAGGTACAACAAGAAAATAGGTGAACACTCTTAATATCCCAACCCAAGAAGCAATAGGAGGATAGTAAAGTACCCCACAAACACAAGGTATTACACAGACAATAATTACAATTCCAGTCGTCGACGATGGACGGTGATGCACCTGTCTCTCAAGCCTTTGGCTAATTAAAGCCTCTAGCGAGAGACTAGGAGGCGATCCCTCGCAGCGATGTCCTCTGCGGTGCTCTCGACCTCAAGCCTTAGGCTCCTTCCGAGCAGGAACAGAGAGGCGATCCCTCGTAGACCCTGGGGACGGGTGTGATGCAGGCAGGTGGTGAAGTCCTCCTCCGGGGCCTTCCGCTCCTGGACACAGGATTCACTGCTGGTAAGTTACCTGGCACTGTCTTCAGGTGGATTCCGCTCTTCAGTTGGAACCGGCAATAGACAAGCAACTCCTGTACCCAGACTGGATACATAAAATCCCTATCTAAACTAACACGACGCCTCCCGTTGCAATATAATACCCCGGCCGTTTGAGCGTAGAACCGACGCACTATACTAACGGACAGACTCGATGATGAACCTCTAACTAATCTAGCTACCTAATAGACAAGGACAGGGGATAGGGTGGAACGCAGGTGCTAACAAAAGAGCATGCAGAAGCGAACAAGCGGGAAAGGTATCTAGAACTTAAGTAGTCTCCCTTCTTACTGTCTGGGGTGAGTGTACTGTGTGCAGCAGCACATGGTGACATGTGCAGCTACTTGCGTGCCGTGTGCAACAGCACATGGTGACGTGTGCAGTAGAAGTAGAATAATCTATGTAACTTATTCATGACAGTTGTTACATATTCAGTGTAACAAATCAGGAATAAGGGACCTTTCGGAAAAGGCTTTATTTTCCTAAAGATCACCGTCTAGACTGGCGCTTTTTTCCGGCAAAGCCCCAAGCCGGAAAAAAGCAGCAGCCATGTTCATGCAAATGGAGCGGGGGAGATGTAAATCTCCGCTTCATTTGCAATTCCGACTTGTCTCATCTGCATCCCTTTTCCGGAAAAGGGGTGCAGTGTAGACACAGCCAATGTGATGTGGTCAAAAAATGAACAGAATGCTGGGAATTATTAAGAAAGGAATTAATAATATGACCAAATATATCATATTGCCTCCGTATAAATCCATGATACGCCCACAACTTGAATTTTGCACTCAGAAGAAGTCACCCCATCTCAAAAAAGATATATTGGAATTGGAAAAAGTTCAAAAAAAGGGGGGGGGAGGTTTATGGAACAGCTTTCATATAAGGAGAGATGATTGAGACAGGGACTTTTCAGTTTCGAAAAGAGATGACTAAGGGGGGATATATTGAGATTTATAAAATCATGAGTGGTGTGGAGAAAGTAAATAAGGAAATGCTATTTACTCCTTCTCATAAAGAACTTACTGCCACCAAATTAAATTAATAGGTAGCAAGTTCAAAAGAAACAAAAGGAAGTATTTTGTCACATAACACACAGTCAACCTATGGAACTCCTTGCAAGAGGATGCTGTGAAGCTCAAGATTAGGGTTCAAAAAAGGGCCAGATAAATTAATAGCAAATAGGTCCATCAATGGCTAGTAGCAAGGATGTGCAGGGATAGTGCCCCAAGAACCTGTTTGTCAGAAGTTAGGAATGAGCAACAGGTAATGATTACTTGATGATTACCTGTTCTATTAATTTCCTTTGGAGCACCTGGCATTGGTCACTGTCAGAAGACAGGATGCTGAGCTATATGGACCTTTGGTCTGACTCAGTATGGCCATTCTTATGTTCTAGAAATCAGACTCTTTCTTTGGGAAAGCAGAAGCTCTGATTGATTGAATGAAAAAGCCTCTTTCACATGGACATTTCAAATTCCCAGGGCCATTCTCTCTGTTCCTTAGCGGAAGGTTCCCCTGCCTGATTTATTCTGAATTTGATTTTCAGCTGTGCAAACCCTCTTGGATTGTGAAAAACATTTTCTTTGATTGCGTATGAACACCAGAAAGTCTGGTTCCAACAGGCATTTTATGTTCTAAGCCATGAGAAATTGGTCTCCCATTTACTACATTCCATTTGATCTACCACATGTGGTGCTAGTCAGTGAGATTTTGCCACTTGCCCAACAGAGCAAGAGTTACACGGGGTATCCAGAACAAAGATGGATAAAGCAGCTCAAAGAGTTATAGTAATAACAGAGACAGTTTTTGTAAGGAGTGGGAGTAGTCAGAAATAAAGTCTTTTTTGTGACATTTCAAAGGGTTGCTGAAGCTGGTTAGCGGCATCAGGAAAAACGGATTCCCAACCTGACCACCTGATCAAGATCAAGTTGCACATAGAGCAATAAAATTTGTCATCGTTAAAGATTATAACCAAATAAAGAGCTTCATTCTTGGGAGAGACACTGGTGATAGTTCTAGAACTAGAGATTCCAACCTATAGTTCTGCTCCCTGTCATGGGGCAATAACAGTGTTACATACTTTAAGAGAAAATAACAGCTTGGAAAGATCCTGTCCATCAGAGCATCAAGTCATATGCCTCTATTAAGAAATATATGGATGGCAAATTATGAAGAAATCAACTAGAAAAGGGAATCAGAATGAAAATCCAGGGTGGTAAATAGGAAGCACAAGTGAGTAGGAAGGAATCAGTCATTTCATTTTGCCCATAGTAAACACAAACGATTCTTGAGGAGTAAAAAGGCCCCTAGAAGCATTTCTATTCATAAGGACAAGAGCCTATCAGTTAAAGTTTTCACTCTATCTTGATTCTTCTTCCATGGAAATTGGATCATTTTGCAAAGGAATTTCCATATGTCTAGTGATTATTTTAGTGTTTAAACTTAAGGAGGAAGTAGGAAGCCCAAAAGCACCATAATGGTCATGGAGTGGACGTAAGATGAGACACGGAAAGTGAAAAAGAGGTAGTAAATTTTTGTTTCCATAGTTTCTTTAGTGAATGATAATGGTCATGCAGTGGATGCGGTATGAAGATTATACTCTAGTGCAGAGAGAGGCTTAGTAATTGTGACAGTCCAAAACAATGTGGAGACCTGATGTATCTATGCCATATTACACATTACAACATGGCCAAAGTCCAACTCACAAGAGTAGCTGCCTTTATAGCAGTGAAGTTAGTGTCCAAGACTGTGCTGGGCTGAGCACAGTCATGATCCAGTATTTTATTAAAAGCAAGATGATCAATGGAATCCACTTATTCCCAGAGCTATGAGTCAGAGGAGGTGGCAGACCAAAATTTTGGGGAGGGATTTCTTGACTCTGGTTTACAGTGGCCTAAAATTTGAAACCTAAGTTCTGAAGGGAATATTGCTCTGCCAAGGAAAATGTTAACAGAGAAGCCATGTCTCCACGTATCCTGAAGCAGCATAAGGAATACATAGGTGCATAAATAAGCTTTCAGTGTCAACAAAGGATCCTTGAATCTGTGGCCAAAGATGCAACCAGAGAGGAACTTCCTATGTTTTCCCCCTGATGTACAAAGCCAGTGAGGCTATTTTGATAGAGGTTAATATAAAACCCGTAATCCAGCAAATCCATTTTTCAGTGCAGAAAGATAATGTATATCTGGTTAGCAGAGAAGTTCAGATGGCCTAGTAAGGTAACATTGGTAGTCTATTGGTACTCTGCAGATTAGTTTATCCAACAGATGCCCTACATAAGATATGACACTGAGAGTGAAAAAGAGGTAGTACATTTTTGTTGCCATAGTTTCTTTAGTGAATGATATGCAGATCTGTATCTACATAGTAATCTTCACTGTAATATACAACACCCTTCCATTCAGTGTTTGTCAAGCGCGGTGAGCCATGGTTGTAGCTGCTTCTCCTTTTGCAGTTGTATGTAGGTGTATGTAAATGTGCGTAGGAGTTAGGATGACTAGATGCAAATGTGCAAAAGTCAGGACATTGGAGGGCAAACGGGGGGCAAAGGGGGCGGGGAAGGGGAGGATAACAGATGCCTATATAAGACAAGCCTTGACTATCATGACTGTCCTTATAAAATTGGGACTCTGGCCACCTGCCTCGTAGGAGTGCGCCAGTGGGACTTTAATATAGCATAGGGAGTACCTTAGCAGCGCAAAGGGTCCATAAAGACAACTTCTTAGGTACAGTATTACTACCCCAATGTAGGTTAGTGAATCACTGATGCAGGAATGGGAGCATAACCAATGTGCCCTTGCACTCCATTAGTTCTCAATAGGTAGAATGCCCCCTTATGGTCAATGCAGCCAGGTACAATTTACAGTGGTCCAGAGGCTGTGGTCATTGTATATCCAGCCACGAGTCATCCCCAGGATAAAAGCTAGTAGGGAGGGATCAGTACACTTTCTCCTAGGTAGAGACCTTGCAGACAGCATACTACTACTATATCACAGGAGCTGTCTGATAGATTAAAATATTAGAACACTGAATTTTAAAAACAATAAATGAATTAAAGTCTAAAAATTCATGAAAAAAGTTCAATACTAAATAATTTCCAGTCAGGAAACTCCTGGCCAGTGTTCCCTCTAACTTTTTCCACCCTTGAGTGGAATCGGTTTTCTTATGTGCACCAATGTGGAAGTGATGTGTGACGTGGAGGTGATGTGTGACACATCATATTGGAGCACATAACAAAATTCATGTGGTGAAGATGGGACCACGGGGTTCTGAGGGAGGGAAGGGCTCAGAGCTAGAACAGAGGCTTGGAATGCAGGAGTGTGAGGGCTCTGGCTAGTGGTGCAGGCTCTGGGATGGGACTGTGGATGACAGCTTTGGGTATAGGAGAGTGCTTGGGGTGAGGGAAGTCTCAAAGTGGGTCTGGGGATTGGGCCTTGGGCTTACCAGGGCAGCTCCCTTCAAGGGACAGAAAGAAGGGACCCTTTCCCCCAGCCATGGCAGCTCTGTGCTGGGGCGAGGGATGTAAACAACTAGTCAACTATTCGATAAGCATAAGCTTATTGGATAGTCGACTAGTGATGAGACTAGTTGCTCTCCCCTCCCCGCCCCTCTCCACCAGCTCTATCAGAAAGAGACAGCAAGGGAGGAAGCAGGAGCCGGTGCTGGGGGGAATTGGCTTGACGGGGCAGGGGAGATAGAGGCACAGTGGGAAACGGCATGAGCAGTGACTGAAGCAGTCTCCACTCGCGCCACTTCTGCTGCAATTCTGCTTTTGAAATTTACAAGAGCCCCAGCAGAAGCAAAAGCCCTGCAGGGAGTACAGAAGCTCCCTATGGCGCCTGCTACAGTTCAAAGGCAGAGGAGCCCTTATAAACTAATCGAATAGTCAACGGAAATCCCATTGACTATTTGATTAGTTAATTAATCTAAATTTAATATCCCGAGCTGGAGCTAGTGGGAAGGGTACTCCCTGTTATCCCCAGCAGCTTCAAGGCTTGGGGAGGGACAGCTCTCCTGATGCTGTGCTGAGCCACTGCATTGGGCTTAATGGGAAGCTGTGTGGCCATGCAGCTTAGGGAGAATTTAACTCCTAGCTGCACGTAGCCTTAATCCTGGCCCGGTACAGTACCTCTACTCAGCATCTACCTCTTTTATGATGCAGGATCTGAAATATATGTGGAGGTTACCAATAAGTAGGTTATTCAGATCAATAAGGAGGTATTTTGGTGAAGGATATAAATTTGACTCTTTAATGTATAGTAGAATGTCTGCTATAAGACAGCATTGGTTCTTTAATGTATCCAGAAAAGACAAATGTTTTTATTTCTTGCTGTCAGTCAGAATGGAAATGTTGTGTCCCTTTTACAATGATGGTGTGAGCTATTATATAAATATAGCATGGTCAATTATTTATATGTCCTAAATGAACTGGAGCCAAAATAATGTAACTCTATTACCAAGGTAATCTTATTAACTTTAGTTCTTTATCTTTATTTACATTGTGGTGACTGTGTTATTGCAGCCTATATAAGAAACAAGGATGTCGTCAAAGGACTGGTATTTAGGACAAAGGGATCATTGATGGGATAATTGGCACTGACACAGAATCAGAATTAAAGTTGCTTGTGGATCTTTATGACTTGCAAATGTTTGCTTTTTAGGTTGAACACTTAAACCTCCATGCAGCCAAACATCCTTATAATAATAACATTCAAGCCATGTTGTTTTGATATAATACTTTTTCTATCTATCCTAAAATATACCTTGAGGATTTGTGAATAAAAAATTATTAATTTCTAATAATGTATTTCAAACATTTATGTATTAGAAATTAACAGATTACTATATTCTGCTTCTTTCTGATGTTAATTAAATGGAAGCATTACAATTGGTAATTTCCTCAACTTAGCAAGTAGATGCTGCATTGACAGCTAGTTTCATAAAATATATCTTCTCGTTTAAGGAGGAAAAACCATAAATACACCGATTAACATTCCAACACACATATATGTACATCATTTATATAAACTCTATTATCATCTAGTCTGACTTCCAGCACATCATAGGCCATAGAATCTCACCCATCCACTTCTGTAATAGCCTCTGACTGAGTTACTGAACTCTCCAAAACATGGTTCAAAGACTTTAAGTTACAGAGAATCCTTCATTTACTTTGGTTTAAACCTGCAAGTGATCCTTGCCCCATGCTACAGAGGAAGGCAAAAAACTCCTAGGATTTCTGCTAGTCTGAGCTGGAGGAAAATGTCTTCCCAACCCCAGATATGATCATCAGTTAGACCCTGAGCATGGGGGCAAAACCCACCAGCCAAACACCTGAGAAAGAACTCTCTGTAATAACTCAGGGTGTGTCTACACTGCAGCATTTTTTTCGGAAGAACATTACTTGCGTCCACATTGCCATTGAGTTCTTTCGACAGAAAGTCGAAAGAACAGAGGGGTTTTTCTGACAGCAGTAAACCTCATTCAATGAGGAAGAAACATTTTTCCAAAAAAGCTTTTTCGGAAAAAGGCGTGTTTGGATGCAGAAGAGGGAGTTCTTTCGAAAGAAGAGGCCTCTAGGAAATAATACAGGTGACCTGGTGGCCGCTCCATCCTGACTAATTACAACTTAAATGTGAGATAGCGTCCAGTCAATGTGAACACATTGCTTTTTTGTTGAGCTTTTTCTGTGTGGATGCTCTCTTTCTAAATAAGCTTTTTCAGAAGATCTGTTCTGGAAAAGCATCTTCTGAAAGAAGCCTGCAGTCTAGAGGTAGCCTCAGAGTCTTCCACATCTAAAGTCTCATCCCCAGCCTTTGGAGATATTTGCTGCTAGCAGTTGCAGATCTGCTACATGCCACTATAGGCAGTCTCATCATACCATCCCCTCCATAAAATTATTAAGCTCACTTTTGATTGGTTAGTAGGGAGTCCTGGCATTAACAGCAGCAAGCACCCTGACCCCAGCCCTCCGTGCTAAGTGGCACCCCACCCCACCACCTCCCATCATCATTCGGGGGAGGGGATGGAAGCCAGAATGAGGTGGGCCAGAAGTGAGGCTTGGGTTTGGAGGAAAAGGTGGAATGCAGATGAAAAGGGGGCAGAGTAAAGGCAGGAAGAGGTGGAGTGGAGCAGGCTAGGGCCAGATTGCTTGCTGCTGCTGGTGCCAAGCCCCTCATTAATTCCCCAGGCTACCCATGAACCCCATTCCCATGAAGCATGCCCCCCTCCCAAAGTACAGGGGCTAGGGTGGTTGCCCTTATCTATCCTATGGATGGGACATCTCTGAAAATATGAGACCAAACCACAAGGTGGAAAGGAGGGGTGTACAGAATGTTGCAACACCACCAAGCTTTGTACCCAGAATGCCTTGCACTGGAAACCCAGTCCCCAGCTCCATGCCCAAGGCTCTGCTGTCAGCCCCAGGATCTCGGTTGCTGGCCCCTATGCTGCCTTGGATCCTGGAATCCCAGCCACCAGCCCTGGCATCCTGCCTGCTGATGGTGCCCCCAAAGGCTCCACTGCTGCCTAGCAGCCTGGGATCCCAGCCTCCAGCCAGGGCTTTGCAGGCCCCTTCAGCTGTGACCTCAGCCTGGAGCATTGAGGGGTAGGTATGGGAGTAAGGGGAGTGCAGCTGAGCACCCCACCCTAAAAATGTTTCCAGTGCCATTGGACCAGTGGTGGAAACAGGCCCATGTTCCAGAGTATTAGTGGAGCACGGTTACCATGGGGCCCACATAACTTGCTATCTATGGCAGGATGGACAATTGGTCTGACCCAATATGGTCATTCTTACAACTCTAGGCTTGCCAAATACAGTTTAGTTTAACATCTATCCAAAAGACATGAGCTCTATTGGTGCAACTTCTATTTGCATCTAAGGCCTTGTCTGCAGGGCTCTGCAGTGCAAACCAGAGGAGTGTGAATTGTAGTAGGGATGTGAACGACTAGTAGAGTATCCAATAAGCAAATGCTTATCGGATACTTGACACGCTAGTCAACTAGTCACTTCCCCCGCCCCTTGCTGACTCTATCAGAAAGAGAAAGCAATGGGAGGAGAGAAAAAAGGAGGGGGGGAGGGTTCAAAGCAGCAGCGCCGCATAGAGCTCACGGCCAGACTTCAGGCCCCACCTGGCACTGCAGCTTTGAAATGCCATGTGCAGCCTGGGGCCAGGTTGCAAATGATGTTTCAAAGCAGCAGTGCTGTGTGGAGCCCAGCATCAGCTGGGGACCCCCCTGCTGGCCCCGGGCTCCAGGAGGCGCTGTTGCTTTGAAATGCTGCGGGAGCACAGGGCCAGTGCAGGACTGCTTGATTTCCACACTGCGCTTTCCCCTTAGAAGTGTAGCAACAGCCTTGGGGCTATACTTCAAAGGCAGAGGTGCCCTTATTGACTCATCAAATAGTCGACACAAATTGCATCAACTATTCAATTAGCCAATTAATCAAAATATTACATCCCTAAATTGTAGAGCAAGCAAATTGTTCTACTCTAACTGCCCCCTGCAGACACGGCTGACACAGACTAAAAGATAACTAATGTTCGCACGGATGTCTACACAGGGCAATGAGAGTACAATATGTGACAGTGCTCTAGCAATAACATCTCTCTAGTTTGCACTACAGCACCATCGGGAACGGTAGGGATGCTAGGCAGGCCAAAGGCTCTGCCTTCTCCCACTGCCAGCCTGGCCTTGACCACACTCCGCCCCCAGAACGCCTACTAGAAGTGTGCTGGGGGCAGTGTGTTGCTGCCCTGGAACTGCCCGGCTTCCCTCCGCATGCTCTGGGCGGGGAGGCTGGAGCCACGCACACCCGCCCCGGGGTGCTGGGGGGGGCAGACCTGGACAGAAGAGGCAGGGCTGGGGACTTGCCTCCCCAAGTCCTTCTTTCACCCACGGCCCATAAGCGCCCTGCAGACAAGACCAATGTGTGTGTGAGTGAGCAGGGGTGGCCCGTCCATGTAGGTGAACTAGGAGGTAGCCTAGGGTGCCAAGTTAAATGGGGCACCAAATGTTGGCACAATATCATTGAGGGGTTTGCAGGTGGGGGTGCCAATTGCATGGTTCGCCTAGGGCGCCAGTTGCTGGCAGCTAGTCTAGGGCCGCCCCTGTGACCGAGAGCAGTTACACCACTATTTCATGTGTGACTTTAGGGCTCCTCCCCCTCATGGCATCACCCTGTGTTGGGGCAGTAGCCTAGGACTTGGAGACCTGAGGCTCAGTTCCCTGCTGTGCTCCAGACTTCCTGTGTAACCCTGGGCAAGCCACTTAGCCTGCGCTCCGCCTCTGCTGAGGGCAGGGGCGTGTGGTGAGGCGGGGGCGTGGCACCGCGCGGGGCACCGCGCGG